ATCCCATTGTGCTCAATCTCAACATTAACACAGGGTTTGGGATAAAATTCAATGATCACCAAATTTGATAATGATGCCGTTCTCCTCCAAAATCATTTAGCTTCTTCAAAATCAGTTGATGGCGAACGTTGAAGCTTTTAAAGAACGACCTTTTAGACAAAAGCTTTAGAAATTCAGATGGGAGCTCTTCCTTGCATTTGGCTCTGAAAATGATCGATCACCTCGAGAGTTACAAGCGACTTGCGGTTGTTCTCTTAACTGCCCCACAAATTCCACTTTCGCTGAGCAGCTAACATCCATTTTCTTGCGCTTTCTCGCATCAATCAATATATGTAGTGAGTCCTTCCTTTTTATAGAAAGCACGTAAAAAAAATGCTAACTCAAATAGCGCTCCAGTAGCTTGCGCTTTGGGACTTTTAAAAGTCCACCGTTGATCTTCTAATGAATATGACCTGCCTAAAGAGTGATAGTACCAAAGAACAACATAGCCTCACTTCAGTCTTGAAGCTTAAGTATGGTTTTGTCATTTATTACAAATTATTACTTAGTATTTGATATTCTACTGTATGTTTGAAACTTGTATACATAAAGCATGGTTATGAGCAGATGTTTGATCATTTCACAAGCCTATAAAAGGGCGATTGGTCTGCCACTGGCTGCTGTAATACTGATTGATGTTGGGTAGGTGGGGGCCACTGCGCTGCCCTCAGACACACTCTGTTTATTTATACCGTCTGCCCACCTTACCACCACAGGGCTACATTTACTGAATTTACAGTCGGCAGACGAGGAAAAAAAATGCTAATCACGCAGCACATCTCTGAGGAAGAAGCAGGAGGCTCCTTCGATCCAAACTTTCCATGGCCATACCAGTTTTCATCAGGCTGAATCTTCTTCGCGTTCACTGCCAATATTGCTCTCTATAGTACCCATCTATTACTTGCTGCTCTGTCTCCTGGGGTGTGCACAAATTGGATCCAACAATGAGATGCCGTAATGATTTCTTCGCATATTTGGGCATGATTTTCATTAATATATTTCTGATATTATTGTTCTGGTTACGGTGCCACTAAAATTGCACTCTTCATGCAAAGGAAGTACTGTATCCTTATAAAGCAAGAGGATAAACTTGCCAGTGTCGTTATTTGAATCTAATGATGGCCTGAAAGCCACCCATGTTGAGTATTTTCCACCATTTATGCTGTTCAGGTTGAAGGGTGGCAAAAAGGTGCAGAACATTTCTGGTAAATGTTCACAAAATTTATGGGAATATTTAATCGAGAGTACAGAAAAGAAAGATGTTTTTATTTATACATATATATAAAAACATATGCCATCCTATCTGCTCGATCCAGTATTAAATTTAAAAGCTTTAAATTTTGCAGCGCGCACACACACACAGAAAAATTGTCAGCCCATCATTAAAGGTGCTGAATAGTGAAGGCCATGAAGTTGTGTTCCAATTCCGGAAGCTTTGAAGCGGTCAATTGTTGGATGGGAGCTGCCTTACAGAGCATGCAGTCTGTTCCACTGAGCACACAGTAGCGGAGGGATCAGCCCATGTCGCTGACAGGAATGTGTCACAAAGTGTTGGCCTGTCCACTGAACAGAGGCGCGAGCCTCAGATCACTGGCGTTGGCCCGCCTTCGGGTTATTCTTTATGGCTGTGTGGCTGAGTGGCTGGCTCTATGCTGTGCAGCCCTCCAGATGGATGCTGGAACAGCGTCGGCCACGGGGCTGAAAATCCCATCAAGGACCAGTTCCAGGCCCTTGCACTGGGAAGATGAAGCACACCTGCATGCCAGGGGACACAGGGCCAAACCTTTCTGCACTTCCATCACCAACGCCAACCGCAATCCTCTTCTCTCACAATGCTCTTCCCCCTCTCACTCTCTCTCTCTCAACTCCCTCCTTTTTCCTCACTTCTACAAGAAAAGACAGCAAGCTCAACCAGCCCGAATATGGAGTGTGGCCTTTGGGGTCTTGTGGTCCTCACTTGTTAAATAAAGGAGCCGAGCAGCTGATTGATTGACCCTCACCGGTGCCTGCATGTTAGCCCTGTGCCGTATGCCTTTTTATTCAGCCTTTGTTGACCAGACCCGCGTTAGATTCTCTTCCATGATGGATGACACCAATTTTCTGTCGAAACCCAGATGAGCCAGCCCTCCCTTGGTTTCTCCTCAGGTAACCGCGGCAAGCATGAAGGAACAAGAGTTAGCGAAAACCGCATCAATCAAAAATGCCACCGTGTAATATTTCCTGTGTGTTTTGACTTTTTGGTCAACATCTTGCCCCCACAAAAGCAGGTGAAATCATTTTCGCCCATTTCTTTTTTTCACTCTCGGTTTTACACTGTCAGAAATTTCGAGCAGATCACTAATCAGTGAGTTTAATTGACTTCCGTTGAAAAAAAAAACTCAGTGATTTCAAATTGCTCTTTTCTTGTCAGCACCAATTCATTGCCATTCAGGGATGTGTAAAAGAAAGAAGATATTTGAAGGTACTTCAGAGGTACCCGCTCAAGTGCTGCACTCTTTTGCAGATGGACACACAGGTGGAAACACAGGTGGGGAAAGAAGGGGGTGGGGAGTGCCCTGCCAGTTTTGTTTGCTCATGCATTACTTGTGTGGTGGAGTGTGTGTTCTCATAACATCTGGTCTTTCCTCCACAGACGCGTCACGGAGAGAACTCATTAACGAAGCTACACTGCACCCTCCTGGATGTTTGCAGCACCACATGCCCGTTTAAAAAAAAAAAAAAAAAAAACACTTTTCACTTTGGGTTTCATTCACCATTTGAGAAAGTTTAGACCAGGGGGTGCCCAACCTTTTTTGACCAATGATCTACTTTTTGATCTACCATACGCACGTACTTACACACGCCATAACAGCCATGAAGATGAATGAAACAGAAAAATAAATAGACACAAAACTTTTGTGAGTATGTGAAAAGAAAATCACTGCCTACCTTGGTGGAGACCTGACGCGTAGGCATGGGAGGCACTTTTGCAGCGTGGTCACGATCGGAGCTCACGTGTACCGTTTTAAAATGTTTGTCCAGATTTCCATTATTTGCCAGTGCCCTTGGGGAATTGTACACGAAACAAACACTGAATGAGAAGAAGAATAACAATTAAAGATAGAGCGCAATAGCTCTGATCGCAGACTGCTCACCGCTAACAACTTCCGGTGATGATGTCACGCGCCACCGTAGGTTAAAGGTGACCTGCTATTTTTTTTAATACATTATGTGAAATTGAGATTGATAGAATGCTAAGGGTGTGGTGTGCATTAACACAAAAATATATTATATTAATAACACGCACACAGACGTTTTTGGTCGTCCCCCCCCCCCCACACACACACACACACACTCTTTACCCTTGGTTTAGACCAGGGGTGTCAAACTCATTTCACATGGTGGGCCACATACGGCCTGGGTAGATGTCAAGTGGGCCGGACCATTAAAATGATACCATACTTTGCTATAAATAACCAAAACAACATGTCTTTCCTTTGTTTTGGTATAAAGAAGCACAAGAACATTAGGAAAATGTTGAAATTAAATGAACATATCTTTTACAAAACATTTCATGAAGCACCTTACATTTCCTTCGACAAATGTGCAATTTACTTTTATCATTCACATATATGCATTGCAACTGATCCCACTGATTGTACAAACTTTAACAAGTAATTGGTTTTGAAAAATAGAGTAATGCGCTTTAAGATTAAACGAGATTTATAAAGAAAGGAAGTTTTAAACCATTTACACGTGCATATAAAATCTAAATGTAATCCCTGCCTACACCTTACAAACTAAGGAGCGTGCTATTAAATGTGTAAATGTGAGAGTGCTATTGATAGCGTCTGCTGTCATGGGTCTGTCTCAGTGATGGACTGAGGCTGCTGTTGTCTTCTTCTCTGATCAAAACAGTGTCCCCTAGCGGACACTCAATGAATTGCACCTTATTAAAAATATTTATTCTGTGTCTTTTATGCATTTTCTTCACTTTTAAATTATCCTGTGGGCCTGATGGAACGGCCCGCGGACCGTATGTTTGACACCACTGCTTTACATAATCATCTCGCGGGCCGGATTAAAGTCCTTTGGGGGCCGGATCCGGCCCGCGGGCCGTACGTTTGACACCCCTGGTTTAGACCCAACTTCCAACTTGTTTTGTTATCGACTCACAAAAACATGGTTGGGAAGACTCAGACTCTGAAACTGTGTTGCTTTTTCTTTCCATGCTGAATTTTCCTCCAACCACCCCAGCATAAATTATCTCTCCAGCAGCCTCAGATACAAACAATATGATTGCAGAAAGCAAACAAATATTATTGATCGCTGCTAGACAGGGACAGCTAATCAATGGATGTATATCCTGCCCACGCTGGGCTTTGTGACGAGATCAATTTGAAGAAGGACGAAGTACCAGCAACTCAAGTAAAATAGTCGGGAAGCATATCAGCACGTTGCGAAATGGAATACATTTTGAAAACAAATGCACGAGTGAAGGTTGAAGTCAGAAATACAACGTGTGTCCTAGCGTTAAAACAAAAGAGCCACTTGTGTAATTTCTTTTTAATCTTAGTATCTAGCCGTACACTTTTACTCTCTGGCCCCACACAATGAACCATCAGATGATTTATTGATCTGAACCGTCTCCAAAGAACCTGTATAATTGTTTCATCATATCGCCATTATCACCCCAATGATGAGTCCCTCAAGGGCAAATCTTTCAATACTATATTGAAAGGCACACTATTTTTCATACTTTGTACATTGCACACCTCTAAATGTTCCATTTTTTTATATTGGTCCTTTTATTGCATGGCCTTTTAATTGACCTGAAATTCTGTTCTCCTACCTTTTTTTTAATGGAAGCCCGAAACATGTTACGTATTATTAAAAAGTGCTCACCATGGAGGTCAATGCCTTCATGAAACTGCATGTGAAGATAAACTCTATTGAATGAAAATAAACTTTGCGGGTCAGACGACAGTTAAAAAGGGCTTTATTGCATTCAACCCAAAATAAAAACATGCAATTGGATGCACTCAACAATCAGTCGCCCGGATCCCTCACAAATAAGTGTGTGCCACGTTCAAAAAGCAAGAAGCAAAGCAACATTCGACCCGAGACAATTCTTGTCATGAGGCAAGAGTGTCTGCGACAGAAATAGCAACTGAGTGAGAACTGCTATATATAGGCAGCACTGCGAGGATGAAACTATGTCAGAGGGTACACACAGAGGTTAATGTGTAAGCTATATGTCCAAGTCCACAGTCCAAATGAGTAGAAAGCAGACAGGGTAAATAATAACAATAATAATAATAATAATAATGCAATACGCATTTATGGAGGTAGCCTGGTAAAAACTTCACTTAGAAAGTTTAGGAGAGGGAAAAAAAAAATTCCTTTGTAGGAAGCAAAACACATCACAACTGAACTTGAACGTCATTGCATGCAGTACATCACATAAATATTCATAAATTATGTCATAAGATAAAAGTTTTAAGGGGATGGATTTTTAGACAGCTTTGCGAAAAATATTATCTCTGAAGTGTTTCTGTGGCATTTAAGGCTGTTCTGTCTGTGTTGTGCGTGACTCAATGAGTCAATGCAATAAGATGAGAGGCAATGCAAGTCGTTAAAAACAAACAGGACAAATTAGAATCTGCTCATTTCATGATATCGCAGTTTCAACTCCGCAATCCCGTGAATTAAAACAACAAAAGACAAATAACCTGAATTTCCCCGTGCTGACAAACTAAGGGTTCCTATTGTTTCTTAACAAACTCCGTATGATCTTGGTGGGTGGAAAACGTGCTTTTTAAACACCCGGAAACTATATTTAACGATCCAACAGGACGTGCGTACATATGTACATTCGCTCAGAGAAATCAAACCATCCCTCATCGGGCAATCGTGGTTTTGAGTAAAAATAAGAAAAAAAAGAAAAACTTCAAACTGAGCCTGAGCGAGGAATTACCTGAGAAAGCGTGTAAGATGCTTAGTACCCAAAAATTAACTTTTTTTTGAGACTTTCATAGTTACCGTATGTGCTGTGACTGTACCTAATTTGAAAATAGGATGACGATCAATGCAATGCAAAGACTTTCTGCGAAATGTGCAATTGCATTTGCAGTCAAAATTATTCAAACGCGATTTTACACGAATTTTTTAAAAAATGTATGAACATTCAATTGAGCCGTATTAAATAGATTAGCGGTGTTTCGTGATATTGTTCTTGTTTTGTTGCTTTCATTGCAAACAATTGCACATGTATAGACTCTACAAAAAAAAAAACATGCAGTGTGGTTATAATAATTTTGAGCGCTGTTGCATATCGAATCATCGGCCAAGAAAAGACTTCAGGCTCTCTCTGGTAAGATTTTGAGGCTCTTTGCGAGACCATTTAAATTTGAATTGAGACCTCTTTTATCTCTTTTAAGTCGTGATGATCAAAGAATCTCAGACTTTTCAAAGCAAGCGCTTCAATTTGGCCGCCCCCTCTTTCTACGCCCAAAGAAAGTAGGCAATTTCATCCAGGTCTACAGGATAATCCGTCAGGTGCAGTGGCTCTTTGATATCAAACCTCTCCCCTTTATAGCTTTTCCAGCGACCAGCCGGAAGGTAAATATCGCGCTCTTGCTTTCCAGGCTCTAAGACGGGCGCCACCATGAGATCATCTCCGATCAGAAACTGGGAGTCGATTTTATAGGCGGTCTCATCACCTGTGGCAATCCACCACAAGGGCCGTATAATTGGGTCACCGGTGTCCAGCACCTCGCCGGCCAGCTCCAAGACCCGCGGTGCGACGATACTCTGATGGAGGGCGGTGTATTTGCGGGCGATTTCGACAACCTCATTGTCGTATGCCCAAGGCGGGATCGAAAACTGCATTGTGGGCATGAACGCCGACAGCTCCAGCCAGCGGATGTAGAGTTCTCGGTCGGGCAAAGCCCGATTTCCATCGGTGCGGTTGAGATAGGCGTTTCCTCCGATCATGTCCGGTAGAATGAACTGATAACCCAGAATGCTGATGGTGAGCACCGTGGGGATAAGCGATTTGAGCCCCAACTCGTAGCCCCAAACAGAGTCCCGATCGATCGGCCTGAAGAAGCACGATATGTTTTGAGATTGGTAGCCACTGCGTAGCTCCGCTCGGTCATTGTACGGAATGGCCATCTCGGTGTAGCGCCTCGTGAAAAAACTCGGATCCCGAATGGGAGTTCTGGTGCTGAACTTCCATGGCAAGTAGTTGGTCTCGCCCGCGTCAAACTTGAACGAAGACACCCCGTATCTGGAGCGAAGGGAACGGAGCTGGGAGGCGAACCACTCACGAGCCTCTGGGTTCGTGAAGTCCACAATTCCGCCGATGCCGTTCCACCAGCGGACCAACGCTGGCAGCTGGCCCGAAGGCTCCCGCACAAACAGGCCCCTCTCCACACAAGCGTGGAAGTTCTCCGAGTTGTAGTTGACGAAAGGGTGAATCCAGAGGGACACGAGGAATCCGTCCGATTTGAGCTTCTGAAACATGGTTGAAGCATTGGGGAACTTTATCGGGTCAAACTCAAATTCCCCATAGCGGGGTGTGTAGCGGTCGTCCAGCTCCAGGTGGCTGCAGTTAAAGTTGTATTTGCGGATGTTGGCGGCATACGTCAGAAGTTTCTCTTGATTAATATCCGTCTTGTGAAGCGCCCATGTGGACCAGACGGGGTGCTGGAACATGGCCTGGGCGGGAACTTTGTTCGGTTTGTTGAAGTAGCGACGAACCATGTACTTGTGGATGGATGTCACGTCCAAGCCGACGCACACTCTGTAGCTGAGTTCAGCACACGGCGCCTCACCCGGGTTCGGCTTGAAGGGGCTGTCATCGTACCGCGCTTGGAAATACATGGTCTGCTCCGTGTCGTTCCAGCCCAGGTGAAACGGGACGGAATTATTAATTTTGATGGCCGTCGCGTTAGACGAAAGCCAATAGCTCTCCAAGATTCCTCCAAACTCGTTGCGATTGGCGTAGATGTCACTCGTCACGAACGGTTTGGGCGACTGCTGTCCGGAGATGGAAATAGGCCAGTGCTGAATAGCGGACACCGCGCCACCATACCAGTGGGCAAACTTGTATGTCATTGCGTGTGCGACAGAAATGTCGGGAACCAGCTCCTCCCAACGCACACGGTAGCACTGTACCGTGTCTTTGGGCCGCACCGTCTCAATGAAAAAGTTGAGGCTTCTATCAGTGGTGCGACCGCAGCTAAGAAGCTCGCCTTCTTTAGTGCACGAATCCAAATCCAATGTCCCTGACCTGCCAACAGATCAACACATTTGTGGTTTATCAAAGGGAGCGTGTTCCGGAGATGACATTTTTAGCAATCAACAAAAGTAAAAGTCCAACAATGAACGGCCGTTGAAATTGATTGATCAATCGTCAGTTTCTAAAGTCTTTGTCATTCTCATCCTAAAAATACCCAACCAACATCAGAAAGTTCACTTTAACTCAAATAGCACTTGCGTGAATCCAAAGTCAGTCAGAGGCCACTCACCTAAAATCCATTCGGAAAACAATAGCTCCTCCCTGGTTGCGGATAATGTAACCATCTTTATTTAGATCCAGGAGCTGAGTCTTGAGAAGCTCAGCTTTTCGGAGTGAAGCGATGTAGTAAGACCACGCGGATACGGCTGCAATCACGAGCATCAGGCCAAGAACGCCAGCTCCGACTAAGGGTCTGGTATCCCTGCTGTGTTTCAGCTTGGGAATAACATCTGTTATTGTGCCAGCAGCTCCTCCGGGAACAACCTGGTACATGACTTGTGCTGGTCACTGGACAAATTTTTGGCTTCACCCTCAATGGATCATGGAATTGCGCTCAAGGGAAACCTCTTTGTTTCGCTGCGGTCCAGTTGTCTGTCTGTGAAAGAGAGAGACTCGATATTATCTGGACAGTGACTTGACATGCATCTACCACATAATTAACCTGATTTACTTCAATCCAATTTCAACATATTTCAAAAATTCACACTTTTTGAAATAAAAATGAATTTTTGGAATGAGAAAAGGAATACCCTGAAATTCAACATTTTTTAACCGGAAATTCCACATTCATTCCTGATGGGACAGTCAACATCAAAAATTCCACATTCATTCCTGATGGGACAGTCAACATAACATATTCACATTGTAACCATTAGGAATTCAAAACATTCAACTCATTCAATTCTCCTTTGGAAGAATTTTAAACTTGCAAATAAAAAAAAAAATCCACGACCAAAAATTCAACAATTTTGCCACGAAAGCCCCCACAGAAAAAAAAAAAAAAATCGCTATTTATTCCCTATGACTCATTAAAAAAAGATTCACATCCACTGTTCGCATTTGAATTTCAAAACCTTCGGCACATTTAATTCACCCCTGTAACGGTTTTCATCATGCCAAAAATATCCATGTTCCACCGGTCCCACAAAAAAATTCCACATTCATTCCCACTTCATATCACTCAAAATCATTCCATATCATTCTACATGAATCCATGTGCATCCATATTTTTTCACTCAGCATTCAAATGCAGTTTCTCCAGAAATTACAAATAACATTGCAAAAAAAAAATAAAAATCACTGACCAAAAATTCATCAATTTTACCACTAAAACTCCCACCCAAAAAAAATCCCTAATTATTCCTGATGACTTCCGATGATTCACATCCACTGTTCTCATTTGAATTTCAAAACTTTCGGCACATTTAATTCACCCCTGTAACGGTTTTCATCATGCCAAAAATATCCATGTTCCACCGGTCCCACAAAAAAATTCCACATTCATTCCCACTCCACATCATTTAATAGCATTCTATATCATTTCATATCACTCAAAATCATTCCATATCATTCTACATGAATCCATGTGCATCCATATTTTTTCACTCAGCATTCAAATGCAGTTTCTCCAGAAATTACAAATGTCCAGTTATGAAATACAGTACATTCATTTTTGCAACCTGTTTCTCCATGTAATGCAGGTTCTACATTTGTCAGGATAAAGCCTGTGCTGCATTCCCAACACCATCTCGCATTATCTTTATTGATACATCAAGTGATTTCACAGCACAAAGAGGATGTCAACTTAAAAGGAATGTTTTGAGATCCAAACAACAAATCGACTCCCAATTACCCACGAGAGGATAAGGGATAGACTTTCCCTGCTGAATTTTAAACATACAACTTCAACTTAAGTCATTTGTATGTGAGGAAGTAGAAGCGGAAAGGAGAGGAGGGGGAGTTGGCTTTTCAGTCGAAGGAGGCAGAGGAAAGCATACTGAACCTTCTGCTTCATCGAGCAAGACAAAACAAAGCAAAGCTGGAAGTAAACCGGCTGCTTTTGGCCAACTTGGGGGGGATACAGAAGAAAAGACACAAAGAAACTCATCTGCATTTTGCATGAATATTTTGTAACACTGATACGGAAGGTATTGAATGTGGATTCAAATGTGCATCAGATAAAAGGTAAGCTAGTGCTCTCTAATTCCCCTTACTAGTGATTACCAATCGAAATGACTGATTCTGTGTTCAACCACCATCCGTATGGATTTTCCCCAAAGCAACATGAGTGATAAGATAAAGCCATCATTAATTAACTTTTGCGCTTCGAGCTTGTTCCTCTCCAGCTGCCGTACCAAAGCAGGAAGCAAGATAAACCCCCAAAAAAGTAAAGGTGTAGGGCACAAATTATGTGGCTTTGGCGATTTTTTTTTTGTAGGTCTCAGCAATTAGTGCTTGCATCAGATTTCCAACCCGCATCCAATTCAAATGCTTAGATGCACTGAACATCTGCACACACCCGCATGTGAACATGCACAAAATGCAGGTAAGCAACTACACACCGATGAGACAAAACTGGAGTGAGTTACATTTGCACTATGCTTACTGTTGCAAAAATGAAGCATACAAAAACAAAAACAAACAAAAAAAAAACATGACTTTTTTTTTTTTTCTGTGAAACACAGAGTAGGCTTGGTTATTTCCTGGAGCTGCTTTGCCCCACGGTGTCTTCAATTTCTGCAAAGTAGAATGAAATCTCAAAATTTTCAAGGCATTGCAGAGAGAGATATGCTGCTGCCTCGTGTCAGAAAGCAGTTGCGGGTCAACAGTCCAACAAGTTGCTAACCCCCAAGAACGGCTAACAACCAATCATGATCTAGTTTGAAGTACCCTGACTCAAATCTTATAAAATGGTCATGAATGTGTTAGTAGCTGACATATGAAGTCTAGAGAAGGGAAACTTCAAACCTAAGATAGGCAGACCGCTTTACTCGAAGACTGGCAAAACCATGTACCAAGCTTGATGGCAGTTACAAAAGTTGTTTGATTGCTGTAAGTTTTTCAAAAAGTTGTGCAGCAATACATGCAAAAATATGAAGTTATTCAGGGTGGCTTATTTTTCAAAATAACAGCTTGGATCGGAAAAAAAAACAGGAAAAAATGTCATTACTGTACATTTCACTGATGTTTAATTTATTAGTCCTTTTGTCAGCTTCGAGTTAATTCAATGACTACTGATGTTTCTTTCTGTTACAGAAGCGCACGAACAATTTTGTCCATGTGAAAATGTAATTTGGTCACTGAGACACATGACAAAGGATATTTGAAATATGCTATTTTGTGACTTGCGGAACTGTTCTGAAAGCATTGTGCATAACTGCAGGCTGAGTTTCCATTTTGGGGTTTCATTTGACATTTATTTTTCATTATAATAAGATTTTCTCAACACTCTCAAAATAATGGTTCACCCCGCAAAGAAAAACGTTTGGTGAATCAATGATTAAATCACTCACAAGTACTTTAACATTGGTTTATGAGATTCTTGAAATGAACGTGCATAACCATGTCTTTGCATAAACTGCTTTTATTTCACACAGAAAACACGCCAATTTTTCATTTTGCTACCGAGGGTTATTTCTAAAGCCATTTGCGTCAAAATCATTCGCTCTGGTTAAGTCGTTGACAGTGATTCGTCCTCTTGTGTACGAGTTTTGTAGTGTGAGAAAAAAAAATCTACATCTACGTTCTCAGCGATTGTGACAGTGGCAATAAACAAAAAACTTGCTGATGGAGTCACAACGCAAGCTTGTGAGAAATAACTGGACGTGCACAAAAAGGTTTACGTCATCGCTTCTCATGGATTTTTAAAAATATATTATTAAAACAGGACACAGATTTTGAAAAAAAACAATATATTCTACGCTGCACATTTACAACGTCTCAGTCTAGTTAGACACGGCGAACGTTATTTGAGTGTGCGTAAATTGAGGGCAACGTGCCAAACATTACCGAGGCAAACGAGCACTAAAACTCGTGCAAGAAGCCAGAGACAATTCCAACGTATTCACATGCTCAAAATAGTCATCATCAAAACTTTTTTCCCTACCGAACTATGCAGAAACGAACCGGGATCGACTTGTTGTTCCACACAACTCCAAGCTGAGTCCAGAGAGTGAGAGAGAGAAAAAAAAACTGAAAAGTTTCAAGACATGTTGCGAATCCGCCTTGTCCCCGCGCACTGAATCATGGGAGATGTAGTGTAAACGTGATACGAATTTATTGAAATATACGGTAATTGCTTCGTTGATTATTACTGAAGTACTTATTAATAATTGCGTAGTTTCCAATATTGTGGCATTTATTTTAGTCAAACTAAGAATCCACCGTGAAGCTGAATTTGCGTTTTTTTTTAAATAAAATAAAAATGTCTAGTTGAATTTAAAACATCACGCACAATAAAATGAGTCAAAATCATAGCTGAACATGGTAATTTGGTTAAAAGAAGAATTTTGAAGCCCTCGTAATGGATATCGATGGATTATGCTTGAGTGCCTAACGTGACCATTGAGCGGAATAACTGTTTACTGAGACATTTTGGTTTTATGAATACAAAGCATTACGACCTAACGTGCTAACTGAACCGTTTTGCTGGAGAGTGTCTTCTTTGCCTTCAGAGAGTTGCTTTCAAAGTACGTTCCCAGTCGTCCTTAGCCTGACCACACTCCACAATTCAGCATCATCAATAATCACCATTCCATCAATTCAACAATTGCGCAAGGGCTGTTTGACAGACATCATCGTATTTATCAAACCCACATCACGATTGCCTTGGTACAGCAGAGTGTCTGGCATTTGAAACGATAAACAAAAAGTGTCTTTTTCATAAATGACAATGGAAACATTTCCTCCGGTGAAATCGACCGCATTCTGTCTTTTTAGTGGTGCTTGGGTTTTACTGCTGCCTTTAGTTTTGTGTAGACGTGGTCAAAGTTCTGCAGGAGAAAAGAGAAAGAAAATACAAGGCTTCATAGACATGTTCAATAGCCACATCAGTTATGAGGGTTCACTTGCACAAGCAATGAGCTCCAGTCGAGCTGTATCAAAATCTCAATCTCTATGAAGATATTAGGGTTCACATTTTATTAGAATTGTCTAAACTCCAAGTATCAAGCAATTAAAATAAGTACTGGAGATACTTGAAAAGACAGAACCCAGAGTACAGTTCTTGTATTGAATCTTATTAGATTGCACCGGGCATGATGTTGTGACCCGGGAGTGTGTTACGCAATGTGTTTATGTACACATCATATGACTATGTAAAAACAAATGTGAGCATACCTGTATTGCATAGTAAACAATGCCCAAATATGCCGTGATGCAGCCACCCAGGAACAGATCAAAAGCAGCAGGTTTCACCCTGGAAGAAACATGTAACAGTTTTTTAGCTTGTAATTTCTTTTTTTTTTTTTTTTTTTGAGAAAGAAAAAAAAACATGTGTACCTGTACATCACTACTGGCTGGCTCATTTGATCAAAAAAGGTAATATCAGGATCCCTGTGTGGAGAAGGTGACACTGAATCAAAACGCAAGCATCAGTGCAGGTTAGCACAGTGGAGCTTGTTTTTTTTTTCCACTCACGTTACCTTTTGTCCTGTCTAAAAGTGTGCCTGTGGACTTGCTGCAAGTATTGTTTGAATTCATGCTCCAGCGAGTTGATGAGCAGGATGTGAGCAGGCTCTTTATCCATCAGCTGCGTGGCACGAGGGACTGAAGTCAGGAAGGACATGAGACTGAATATTCGACTGTCATGGAAGTCCTGCAATCACAAAATTAAAATTGAATACAGATTGTAGAACGGTAAGGCACTAAAACGTTGTCCCTGTTAAACATAAAGAAATACATAAATAAATAGACTTTATGTAATGTCGGTGCTTGAACACTAGAGGCCAGCAATTCATTCATATTTTAATGAGACGCTTACCAAGCGGCCTTTGAAGAGCTGAACATCTCGCAGCGAGCTCTTAAAATAAGAGAAGAAAAATACATTAACAGTGTATATGTTATGGTCTATATTGTATGATATGATTTATGTATTTGTTTCTTTATTTATTTTCATGTCTATTCCATAACCAATGTACAATGGGTGAAACGTAACCCCGTTATTTCATTGAGTGATATATGGATACATGATCATTTTGGCCTACGAGAACACGCATGCAGTCAAACCGTACTTGTAAACTAGTGTTCTGCTCTAGTAACACCACAAGGCCCAAGTAGTGGACATGTGTCACACACTAATAGCACCAACATGCCCACTGGTAATTTTGCTCTACTAGTGCTACTATAGCATGCCAGGTGTCCAACTCGTGTGCAAAAACTAGTACAGTAATAGTTACTACATGGAGCTTAAGGTGGATATCAAGGACATTGAAATAATGCTCAAACAGCTATTCACAATTTTGGCCAACCTAATTTTCCTCACCTTGTCTGATAAATGGTACATGTACCGTGCCAGCGCTTCTGCTACAATGATACCATTCCTTTTAATTTTCTGGAAGTCCACCTGGGAACTGTTCGGACACATTTCAAAGATCAAAAATATAAGACGCTCTATGGTATTTTTACAATAACATCTCATAGATGAGCTGGAGCCTAACCCAGCTGATTTTGGGCAGGAGGTAGAGTACAATCTGACTGGTCACCACCCAATTGCCACTTGCTGTCCATTGAAAATGACACACACATAGCCGCTCAAAATGAACATAAACAGAAGTGAGAACCTACGCAGTGTCAAGCAAGGAGCCCCGTAGCTCTGATTTGGGGTCATCCAAGTGAGACAGAGTGAACGCTGGTATCCTGCGCAGGCTGAAGCGCTCGTGCTCCCAGGCGACTGTTGACTCCATAAGGTTGATCTTCTTATGGACCATTTGTGTCTTCATCCAAGGGAATCTGGAGGAAACCACCTGGGTAAAAGGAAGGTATGATTATTTATCAGCTTGGGTAATATTATCCATCCATCCATCAATGGTTCAATCCGCCTATCCTCACAAAGGGTCGTGCGGGGTGCTGGAGCCTATCCCAGCCAACTTCGGGCAGTGGGCGAGGGACACCCTGAACCGGTTGCCAGCCAAACTATTTCCATTCTGCATCCTTTATCCAAAGATAAATTTTAAAAGGGCGATACAATATATGGTCAACTTTCTTTTGTTTTAAAATTGGAATAACCTTGTGACTGTATTTACCTCATCCAAATGTTGAATGAATGCATACATGGGAGTGTCCGATTTAGGTGGACGGGACACGTGCATGTACAGCTCATCGCCATTGGCCAGTGTGTCCAAACACAGCACAAATGCCACATTGTCATGTAGGAGGCTTGATTCTGGTAAGAAACACAGATTCTAAATAAAAAGCAATGCGAGGCCGTGTTCTTATCGCGCGACAGCAGTCCGAGGGGTCGCAGCGGAGGGTTCAAAGTTCAACCAGAACTCACCAGCGTGATCCAGGTTCTCTTCAATCCACTTCTTGGTGCCGAAGAAATTTTGTTTTCCTCCTCCAGTCAGGGAGAACATTAAATGGTATCTAATTGACGAACATCAAGAAAGGGGGCGGAATTGAATGTTGAATTTAACCTTTCTAATGAAATGTAACTTACCGTGGTCTGGTGCTTGGGCTACTATAAAGCATCTGGAAGAGGCGTGCTAATTCGAGCAAGATGATGACGCCGCTTCCATTAGAGTCGGCCCCATAGGACAACCACTGCGTAACACACACACACACACACACACACACACACACACACACACACACACACACACACACTACTATGGTTGATCCATCATGTACTGTATAGTAATCACACATTGCACAATGTCTACGCCTGTTTTTGCTGTGTTTTGTTCATCCATCCATTTTCTGACCAGCTTTATCCTCACAAGTTTTGCGGGGCGTGCTGGAGGCCACCCTGAACCCGTTGCCAGCCAATTGCAGGGCACATCGAGACGAACAACTATCCGCGCTCACGCTCACACCTAGGGAGAATTTGGAGTGTTCAATCAGCCTGCCATGCATGTATTTTGGAATGTGGGAGGAAACCAGAGGACCCGGAGGAAACCCCCCCCTTCCTAAAAAAATCATTTCTTTTCCAATCACATCTGCTTGTATCATAAGTCTGATGAAACGTATGTGGCCACAGATACCGCTGCCATTCATTGTGCTCAGTCTCATTGCTTGATTTTGTCAACATGTGTATATGTTTACTGTAGTTAACTCACTGGTGCCAGTCCATATGAATCATAGTGGGCAGTGATCACAATGGTGGGTATGTCCTCACCAGCTCCAGGAAGCACTCCCTCAAATACAAAAGCCCAGTTTTATATATAATACAACACAGGAAAAAAATGTTTAAAAAAAAAAAAGCTACACTTACTTCCAGTGTAACGAGCGTCGTGTCTGTTATGGCCTTGATTGGGGAATTGTTGGTCACTAAGATCTGAAAGGCTGTTGCTGTGACCATACTTCGAAAGACTGTCACGGATTTAAAAGGTAAAGGTCATGTCATGGGAGATGAGTTTCTTGTCAGTATGTTATGCTTTGTCCGTCACCTCGAATGAATATCGATGAGGTCCGCGCAGATGCCGCCTTCTTCACCTCCTCATACATGTGGAGCAGCTGTTCATCCTCAGGGGCCACGTAAACCGGCATGAGAGTCTCCGTCATCAAGGCTTGACTCTCGCTCATCATGAAGGACTGGAAGACACAAAATAATTGCAGTTTCCTGAACAAATTATAAAAGTAGCAGGAGAGCAAATGACGGTATTGAGCTTTTCGGGGAAATTACGGGTGAGCTTAATTTTCTAGACTTGTGTATGTATAAGTGCAGTACCGTTTGCACTATTTGCTGTTCTCTAGCAATGAGCTGAATGGAAATTTGTTTGATTAATTTCCAAGGGTGTCCACTTCAAATTCAGTTCACCTGTAAGTGTTTCAATCCATTTTAAATTGACCCAGGAATTTTACCCAAAAGTCAATTATCCTCAATTGATGTGGGTATAGTCTGTCACTGTTACCTGAATTTCTTGAGGTAAAATACTTGACATATTTTGGGGCAGCAGAATCAGAACGGCGGCAGCATTTTGTCTCTGAGCCTCAGCGTATGTTTTGGTGGTGAAGTCGCCCACCCTCATGATTACACAGCGGCGGGTCAGCACTGGCTCATCGGCGGCTCGGGCCTCTGCCACCACGATGGCGCCTCGGCAACCTAAACATCCAGCAAAATGATCATGACGATATCGTACATCCATCCATTTTCTATATCGTTTCCTCTGAAAGGATCGCAATAACCTGTGACAGGTACAGGAAATCGTGGTGTGATGCCCTCAGCTTACCATGATTCTGTTTTGCCAGGTTGTATTGCTGCATCCTGTAGGCGGTGAACTCATAGGAGGACGCAGAAAAAAGACTGGAGCCGTGCAGACAGTTGACACGGAGCAGGAGCACGATGACTGCAAAGCGCAAGTCTTGCAGGAGGAGCATGATGTCAACAAGAGAGCATGCCAGGCTATATACACTGAAATGCACATTTATAGAAACATAAAAAAAAGAAAGAAATCATGGCCTGGCTCAGGAACACACACACACACAGATGCAGGATAAAACTATCGAAACGTCCCTCACCTTTCTCATGAAATCGTTAAGGTCTTCCAAGACATGAGTGCTGTGCTACTCAGTACAAACTATCTCCTCAGACTCCATGAGTCGAGGTAAGCCACAATTCGCCATCTGCTCCCAAGGGATCAGCTCCCAGGCTAATCACCAAAAACCCAACCCTCCCAACATGGACACGCATGACAGTATTCTGCTACTCATCCATCTCGCTCACTCTTCACTATCGGTAGGACAATCCAATCAGATTGTTTGTTGGATGGAGAAAAGTTGCGTTACCAGAGTTGTGTTTCTTCACCGAGGAGGGAAACGACAAATGACAAAATATATTTACAATGATTGAAAAGCGGGCAAAAGTTCTCCCAGAGTTCACTTTTGAGACACTGCACATTGTATGCACTGATTTAGAGCTCCAAAGATACAGCATTTAAGTCCAGTACTTAAATGTCATCCTTCACAGAGATCAGAAAGATATGAATTGACCAATCAGCAGCACACAGACTCAAAGCGATGTCCCCCCCACTCATTTTGAAATAACAGGTGTAGAAAGTGTAGTGGACAAACCGGCATAGGTGGCATTTCATATATTTTTATCATGACATCAACAACCGACAAAACAAGCTGGGCTTCAGATAGCTTTTATTTATTTTTGGGCGGTGGGGGACATTTTGCACTTTACACAGAACTTGAACAGCGTGAAGTCTAAATGGAACCATTTTACAGTCATCATCATAAGCATCCGACAAATAAAACAAAACAGTCGTTGAGTTGGAAAATAATTTAAAATGTACAACTGCAAATAAATATGTGTGAGGATGCATTGCTATGGACAAAACAGAGTCAGAATTAGTGTTACTGACACACATCTTTGACACAGTCTAAATGTTTGCTGGAGACAGAAGTTGGCAGGAACAAAGGCGACTTCAACTTAATGCCACCAATCCAACCAGCAACGCTGGCACCTTACGAGTTAGGTTTTAGTCAAATGGGGAAGACTCAATCCAAAAAGGGCAGACAGTATATGGACACTTGCTGCACTTTGTACAATTTGTCCCTTTCAGAAAACCAAAATATGACCTCATATGCAGTACTTTAAAGACAACAATAACCCCAAAAAGATATTTCTATGTATACTGTATGTCTCAATGTAGTATAGTCAGTCTAATTTTAACAAAAGGTGTCAACATACGGCATGAGAACCAAGTTAGGAAGTATGAACACAAGATTTCCCGTTATTATTGTAATTCATGTTTGGTATAAAGGTAAGACTGACAATTGTACAAGTTGCCACACAAGTACACTGTTCAATTCACTCAATTCTATTGTGTCAAGTGGCTGCACATAATAGACTCATCTGGTTTTAGATCATTTAAAAAAAAAATGTTGTACTTGAAAATTGCGTCGTCATCCAGATCGATTTTATTTCGTGCAACCACTTGATGAAATAAAATTGAGTAAATTCAACACACCATTTTTTTTTCACCGTTGTGTTACGTATGCACACATTATATCAGCTAACTGGTCACTATTGGCACACAAGGAGTGGAACAAAACAAACATTGTTTTGAGAAACTTGGAAGCCTCGGTCTTTTCGGGTCACTTTTATGAGGACAAATTCACACGATAGTGCTAAACACATACCGGGAAATGACCTCAACTGAATGCAAGTAGTGTCGTAAACACAAAGCGACCGTGTGGAAAAAAAAAAGGTGATTGGCAGTGACAATAACAAGTTATGGCAGGTGTTATGGATATCTGTCCAAAATATACAGTATATCAGGTGGGATATGTACAAAAACAACAAAATCACACTTTAAATAAAATTGAAGAACTTGAAATATTTTACACTTTCCTTGACTCGGAAAACTCAAATTAAAAAAGGAAAAGAAAAAAGAAAATTGTGGCCACCGAAGTCATGTTTTTTTTAAATTAAGTCAAAATTCACAGCAAGTACAACAAATTGCACATTGAACACTTTCTAATCCAGTGAGGTTCTCATGAGAAATTAGTAGGATCTGGTACAAAAACTAATGCACAGCAGCTAGTTTAAAAAAAAACAAAAAAACGGACATATTGTATGCTCAGATTCTTAAGACAAAATTACTGTTGCCATAAATGGCATAACCCATAATGGCTTTAAAATGATAATGCTCCATTTGCAAAATATTACCCATTTTTTGGAGCTTCAGAGAGTTTTTTGGAGGCTGTTGCATGCACACATAGCCCACACGCGCATGCAGTGATGCTGATGTTTCCTAGATGACAGTATCGCATTTTGTACCATTTCTTGCTAAATTCTCAGGACAAGATACTCCCTTCATAACGACGTCTGGGTCGTCACTAGCTAACAAACTGCTCTGCTGCCATTCCTTACAAATGGTTCCTCAAAGAAAAAAAAAAAATAAGACGAACAACAATAATATATTACGGTGAATGACGTCCGACGGTACGATGAAGAGTGCGCCATCATCTGCACAAGTTGGCCATTCGGCAGTTTAAACAGGCAAACATGCAAACCTTAGGCTTTCACTTTTTCTTTTTTCTTAATCGCAATGATGAAACAGACGTTACATTTGAAAACTAAGATTTGAACTACCTTTAGTGCTTTATGGTGAGAAGTCCAATGGTTGAGGGCCACTTCTCGGGCTATGTAGTACGCACGCGTACACGTCATCTTTATGTTGGACACACACACACATACACACACAGTAAACGAAGACAAAGCAGACGGGCGGTGTGCAACCGCACATATTCCAATCCTTTACCAGAAGCAGAAGAAATAATTCCTTATCTCCATAAGAGGTGTTTATTTCGTCTTTTGTCCAACGGTTTCTAATCAACAGTCCTGTATGGTCCTTGTGAGAAAAAAAAAAAAAAAAAAAAGTGAAGACATTTTCCTTCAAGCTGATGTTTGTGCCATCATTGCAGCCCAAGTTCACCATACAAGGCAGAAGGTGCACATATCCAACCATAGGAGGAACGTGCACAAGACCCATTGGTGTTACCTACCTCCATCTTTGACATTTACAGACCCTTTTTTTTTCTTCTTCTTCTGCTTCTAAAGGTGTGCAAACTGTTTACCCCACTCGTTGTGGCCTCTGTATTATTATTATTTTTTCTTGTGTAAAGAGGAGGGCGGTGCTACTGGATCTGACACGCTGTGGAGGGAGGAGCTTGACAGCACATGCAGGTGGGGTTGACGGCTTTGGGCGGGATCAGATCCAGGTCCTCGTCATCTGGAATCTCATCCAGTCGGTAGCCGTCCTTCAGGAGCTGGATGTTGAGGTCCTGGTTGATTTGCTGCAGGGGACAGAATGAGGACGTGAACCACGTTGATCAAAGCGAGCGAAAGCAATCTGGTGTGGTGACACAGAAATGCGCAATGGGAGCTTTGAAAGTCACGACGTGTGGTGGTCAGAGGAACGGTGAACGAGAAAGGAACAGTGGCAGACAAATGCAATGCATCCCACCACCGCTGCCCTCTTCCCCATGCAGCCAATTGGGGTACGACTTGTCGGGGTCGGGCTGAAGGGATGATGGGATTTGATGACCAGGCGGTGAGGTTTTGCTCTTTCACCAAAATGATTGCGGCTAACAGGGCGAACACTACGTGAACTTCAATAAAATGCGTGTATAGATACCTGGTCCCTCAGACATCTCACCTCGGCCGAGGAGTATCCCGATGACGAGTACCTGGACATGTCGAAGTCGTCATCGCTGCAAAGCAAGAGACAAACGCAGTTTAAGGAGATGCCGCAGCGGTAAGGCAGATGTTTTGCTTGCTCTTGACGAATAAAGATTTCCCATGTGGATCTGAAGGCGTGCCGGATGTGTCATTTCATTTATTTTGAAGTGGCCAAATAAACGTAAGGCGACCGTTTGAATGAGGATCTGTATCCCATCTCTGTTGTATTTTGCTTCTCTTTGTCATGGCAACCGCTGTGAAAGAAGCTGGTGTTGGTCTTCTTCACAATCTTGGAAAAGGGACGTTTGGCCGACTATAATCAAACCGTTGTGTCACACTGATTGGGGTTTTGTTTGTTTTACACAGTGAAGTGGACCTGCATGTGGACAATGAGCTCATTTGTGTGTTGGGGGGGGCTTTTCGGGACTCTACAAAACGACACAATACACTACGTGGGCATGGCATGACAACGCGTCTGCTCACAATGCCCCGAGCATCCAACAGTTCCTCGTCACTCCCCAAACGACCCAGCGTTGTGCAAATGTATTTATTTTTCCCTCTTTCCCAAGATCAAGGGGGTCATCGAGGTTGAATCGTTCTGAATACGTGAGCTCATCTGTGGCCAACACAAACCAGTCCGGTCCAGGGTGGAAGCAGGTGCTCCCTCTGAGCTGCTTTTCCCACCTCGCCAAATCCTCACCCCGCTATCCTCTAATCCCGCACCCTGGGAGAGGCTTTGCCCCATTTTTTGGATCCCGACTGATCCCAACTCTCTCAAGTGGCTTTGTGGATGAATGCAACACGGTGAGACCAACAAACACTCTAAATCCTTCACTCCCCTCTGAGGTCAGGCTTTTTTTTTTTTTTTTTTTGTTACTGTTGACTTTTGTATTTTGAGGTGTGAAATGATGTTTAGAAGGTGAACTGAGCAATATGCGCATACCTGTCGGTGTCCAGTGCCACGAGGGGCTTCTCATCTGGGCTCTGGTCTAAAGAAGAGTAGCCTTTATTTGGCACCACCAACCTGCACACAATCAAAGAGGGTGTTTCTTCATTAGAACGCCCTTTTAACACTACGTTTCTTGTACATTATTCTTCTGTGACAATTTGCCATTTATATCACTACCCTGTGGGTAGCAATGTAGCTAATGAATCCCATATTGATCCAAAAAAAACAAAAAGAATGGTTTGAAAAGTGATGTTTTCAAGGCTTTGGCAAAAATACACAAGCACCATGCTCAGAAAGTCAAAAGGAAAAGTGCAATGAATGACCACGATAACCACTTCCCTTCATGTGAAAGAATGCATTCATTTATTGCACATTGGGCATTCAATTCAGTTCCACAAAAGAAGGGGAAAAAGCGAGGTACATCTGTCACCCCTCAGAATCCAGGACTCGAAGACGATCAGTCTGCCTCGGAGCATTTGGCATCGAGCCCCTCGGTAGCCTTTCATATATTCCCACTAATCCACCAGGGAGTGGGATTAGACAGAGGCAGTTGTCGATAGTGTGGGTTATTACACAAGCTTTATACGCCGACTCCGTGCTCGGCATTTACTCACACGGAACCCAAATAGACCCACGTCTTTGTTGCTGCCGTTTCTTTTGAGCATTACAAAGTCAGATGACATCCCTCAAAAGGCTGGATGCAAAGCTTTCATGCGCTTGTACGCGGCGGGCGCTATATTCCGGACTGAATGGAGCTCAACACGGCTACGGAAAGGAAGTTGTTACCTTGTCCGAGCATTCTTCTTAGGTTGTTGATTGACAGGACTACCCACAGTGCCATTCTTCACTGATCCCTTCCTGGCAAGATCCCTCTGTTTCTCTGGGCAACCACAGGGGAGGGGGACGGGGGGTGTTATCAGTAAACATGACAAGGAACGGCAACAACGTCGCTTGTGGCAAAGGGGTTCACAGTTATCTAGCATAATAGGCTTTTTTCAAAATCATGACGTCGGCCGGAATTTCATTGATTCAATGCCGAACTTAGCTTACGTTCACGTGAAACGGTAAATGCTGTTCGGTGGTTAGAAGGAAGAACTCAAGGACAAGCAGGGCTGACAGAATGCTATTCTGTGTGAATTACATCCTTCTTCAAACTCTCGTATGCCCATCAAGACACAATGTGTCTAAGTACAGTGGTACAAATTTAATTGGTTCTTTGAGCCTACTTGTAACTCGCAAAGTTTGTAAATTAAGGTAAGATTTCCCATTTAAATGAATGGAAATGCAATGAATCAGTTCCAGACCCCAAATTATGGTAGATTTATGTGTATACTGTGGAATTTTTCTCATTCTAATCAGTGTGTGAGTGAAAATAAACACAGTACAGTATAAACATAAGTGAAAATATCATTCAGAATGAAGAAATTGGCGAAAACTGCCAAATTCATACCACTATTGTGGTAAGCATTAAGGGGCCAAAACATAAGTTATTCAATGATGATAGCACCACGTCAGCGACCCTCGTGAGGATAAGCGGTTCGGATAACGGATGGATGCAAATATTTTTTTCGGTTGTCGGATTCCGCCTCAAAAAAAAAATCCACATTGACCCGGGCCCTAGTAATGATTTTAAGTGGTGAGTTGCACTGTGTAGGTGGCGATACCTATTTGGACTTGCAGCGGTGAGGGCTTGTAGTTCATAGACACCGTCTCTCCTTTGGCATCAGGGTCAGCTTCCGAGTTGGAGGAGGCTGCCGGATCCTAGAAAAAGGATGGGAGAGTGAATTCTTCTGCTTTATTGTACCATTTGAGTACATTCTGATGCACGCTGACACAAACACAAACATTGCCGGAATGACATAAAGCCTGCAAAATCAGCTCTCTTTAGATGGGATTCGTGTCCAACACCGCAGCACTAATTGCCTGAAGACAACTATGGCCGCGTGGTGTGCAGCATCAATAGGCCCGAGTGTTCTGCGCCCTATACACTCCTGGCTCTCGTTCTTTCTGTGTGAGCGCTGATGGCATGGAGAGGAGGCCGTGGGAGAACAGAGGGGGCTCCTGTTGCTGCTGGGGCGTCAACAGATTGAGAGAAGGGAGCGGGGTCATGCTTGGCTTGCCCTGCTAACAGAGTTACACTTTATGCTCATTCGAAAGCCCTCGGGTGTTGTAACAGGAGGGGTTCCACAGGGCACATGGGTGGAGAGTAGAGCGCCAGGCGGTTGGCAAGAAATGCCCAACATTTACCATGGTGATTGATGGATGCTCCGAGGAATGAAACAGGACGAGCTTAATCTGAGCTAAATTAACTGTATCTTGACTAATTGTGAGAATAATAATTCATTGGGTACACACACATAACTCAATTACACCACCCAATACAAAAGCAAAGGAGCGGAAAAACAACAGAGCTTTAAAACGGATTACGAAAAGAAAGACGGGCCCGGAAGGCTATGAATGACGGCAGAATAATTTCCTTGGTGAAGTAAACGACACCGAAAAACAGCACAGAAATCAATAACGTTCGAGAGACTGATGGCAGCTCTGCCTCAAAAACTAGAATGATGAGTGACATTCATGACAGATAAGGAAAGTTCACAAAAAGGTGCAAAACTGCAAACATGCAAGGACGGGATCATGAAAAGAAACCATATACTGTATTACAGTTACCTCCTGCCAGGTCTGCGGCAGATTAAAAGTAATTTGTAATGCCATCGCACAAATGTAAAACAAAATCGTAAAAAAAAGAACCATCCTGCTTTGAAAGATAATTTGCATGTCACTACTGAAAATTTATTTAAGACTGATGACATTCAACACCAGCCAGGCTTTTTTTTTTTTTTTTTTTTAATAGACGGTATCACAAATAAAACCTGACCTGCTGTCCCTGCCTTTCACATGTGTTGTACCATATCTTGACACACCCACTTTTGACACAAAAATGACATAATCTGCCAATGCATCCGCTCCATTAGCCTGATCTTCCTTGACCGCCTTCCCCATTGACGCCAGGGCCACAAGGCTGCTGACGCAGCACCAAGTCCGCAGAGATTGAAGGAGGATTACACATCAACGCTTCATGGCTTCCCGGCAGCCAATCGCAGTGTGGCCTGACTAATCAGCTGACCACAAATGACATTTGCAACCGCTCTACATTATAGCGTAACAGTCAACACGGCTCTCTGTCATAATTGGATCTCAATTCAAGCAACGTGCTTATTAACATTCGTGTGCTCGCGTCTCATGTGGCCGCATCGACTGTGGCTCTCTGTGACTTTGGAAAATAAATGCTTCATTTTAATATACCGGTACTTTTTTTTCTCGAAATATAGAATTATAAGATTATGGTGCTCTTGTGGCATTAAAACATATAAAAACAACAATGCGGGTTAAGAAGTAAAAATCAAATATCCAGGATATTGTACAGTGTTAAATGAAATGGTAGTTTTTAATACAAGGTGATATCTGACTGTGATAAAATATGTAAGTGACGACGGAACACAGAAGCCAACAGTATTTTTGGTTTGTTTTAATTTCATGAACATAAGGAAGGTGAATATGGAAATGTACTCATTTGTTTGAAAGTTGGATTCAAAATTGTTTTGTGACATGCAGAAATAAAACCTTGTGCCTTCAGTAGCAGTTCGTTGATTTCCGAAATGCAACACACTATTGTTATTTTATATAAACTGGTTTAAAAAAAATCACCATAGATATATGTAGTGTCAAATGTGTTCTGTGGCTCCCATTGTTTTTTTTTTCTTCCCCTGTGGTTGATGGCCAAAATGGATCTTTTAGTATTTAAGGTTGCCGACCCCTTGTGCTCGAGCACCCCACACGTAAGCCTAAAACCCAGGAGGATATAGAAGGAGTGTATGTTTGTGTGCGTGCGCGTGAATGTGTGTGAGTGTGGCAGATGGGAAGCTGATTCATTCGGAATGACAATGAAGTGTTTAGCATTACAAAGGCCTTGCCATATGTACAACTAACACCATCAGATATCGTAGCAATCTAAAGTGACTGCACCAATAAACTGGGGAAAAAAAAACACTGACAAGCTATGGTTAGTGTATAATTATAATCTAGGATTTCCACTATCTATGTCAATGGCCGACTGCAAATAGGAAAAATGAGCAAAAAGATGCTGCTTTGTAATTGCCTTATAAAGGCCACAAGACGGTGGCAAAGGACTTTTGTCTTAACTCACTTTACAGGGAAGATTTGAGGATAGGTTCGAAAATATATATATTTCAAGAGAGAGAGAGAGAGAGAGAGAGAGAGAGAGAGAGAGAGAGAGAGAGCTAAAATAATCAAACGCCAAACCAGTAATAGGCTATGTGGGGTTTCACTGTATTGAATGCAGTCCTTTCACTCCTATATAATTTTAGTCCGACTTGTGTTTCTACACGAGTGTGTTAAATGCAGTGCCTTAACTCGTGAATCGCAACCAATTAATGTGGCACGAGAAGGTGAGCCACAGCAAATTATACAGTTTCATTTAACTGGTAGTTTTTATTTACTACAACTAAAATAATGTGTCTTTGTTCATCTAACAGTACCATATAGTGACAGGTAGAGAAATTCCACAAAATTTAAGAAGATACAGGTGCATAACTGACGAGGGTAGATACCATTTTTGGGAGGCATTTTGGCTCAGTAAAGGTTGGGAAAAAAAACTGCTCGACGGGATAATGCTCAGATTCATGTGACTTCCTGTGAATGAGATTTGTCATATGACATTTTTAAAAATGGAAGCGTGGACAGCGTAGCAGCCTGCAGTCGAGAGGAGAGGAGCTCCTCTTCATCATGTGGAGTTGCACCCAAATAACACGTCACCAAATGACGAAATGTGATAATGTTGGGCGCAAGCTGCGTTAAAAGTCAACGCCGACATACTAGTGTGATTTGAAAAGACGTGACTTGCGCCACGTTTAAGCGGGGACGCGTAGAATGCGTTGTTTACTCGCTCGTTTTTCATCCTAGGAGGGGCGAGACTTGGCAGCGATGCTCTTATTCGTTTATCAATCTGACGTTATAGTTTCTCCCGTCCCGAATACAAACGGAAATACGCTCCAATCATGCTCGCGGTCGGATAGAAGGCGAGCTGGACTAAAACGCAAAATGCACAAAACGAGACAAGAAGGTTTGCAATCATTTCAATGGGCCGATTAGCATAAAGACGAGCGCTTGCTCGCTTACCAAAGGTTGCGTCTCTCCGTTGACAGGAGGCACTTGGAACCTGTCGATTTCCTCCATCATTTTTGCCAAAAAACCTCCTGGTAACGGTTCGATATTCACGATAAACTACGGTTTGTGTCTAAGTGTCCCGATCTGAGATGCTCTGTTGCAGCATTATAGCGGCTGGTTTTCCTCCATCCCCACAGAGGTGACTCGACAGCAAAACAGCAGCACCGCCTTACTTCCGGATTTATTAAATATTCATGAGGTTGCCATCCAATCAGGGACAATATTACCATCGAGTGCGCAGTGAAGCAAATGCATACCTCGCTTACGTTTACAATTAATTGACACAAAACCACTGAGTGTGTTTGCACTGTGGGGACATCCCTCAAATACTGTATATTTATATTCGTATCCACGCAAACTGGGACGTATGACCCTGGGAGAAGAACATGAATGTAAATGACGATTTGGAAATTGGTGTGGAAACAACATTGGTTACTGTTACATTTATTTCATTGTGTCCATTTATACTGACAAGTTTGCCTCGGAATTTTGCTCAAATATAATGACATTCATATCATTTAAATTAGAAGAACATGAATGTAAATGACGATTTGGAAAATGGTGTGGAAACATTGGTTACTGTTACATTTATTTCATTGTGTCCGTTGATAAAATATTCATAAGGTTGCCATCCAATCAGGGACAATATTACCATCGAGTGCGCAGTGAAGCAAATGCATACCTCGCTTACGTTTACAATTAATTGACACAAAACCACTGAGTGTGTTTGCACTGTGGGGACATCCCTCAAATACTGTATATTTATATTCGTATCCACGCAAACTGGGACGTATGACCCTGGTAGAAGAACATGAATGTAAATGACGATTTGGAAAATGGTGTGGAAACATTGGTTACTGTTACATTTATTTCATTGTGTCCATTTATACTGACAAGTTTGCCTAGGAATTTTGCTCAAATATAATGACATTCATATCATTTAAATCTTGAAAGGCTATCCCAATATACGTTATGTGTCCCTAAAGTCACCATACATTTCCTTTTTTTTTCAATTTTGGTTCAGGTATCGTTCGGACAGACGTCAGGCCATCATCATTTGACAGCGTAGGCTGTACAGTCTTGTAAGCATATCATTCCCTTGTCAAAGGCTCTCAAAAGGACCATGTTTCTGAATGTTTATGGCTATCACACTGCCGGAGTACAATTTACAGTACACTATTCATGTCAAGGTTTGGTTCCTGACATGAAATATAGCAGAAAGCTTGATACTACCATCACTGACTCAAAACACCACCCTCCTAGAGCAGGCATCCACGCAGAGTCAGGGAAAGTCTATCCGGATGGTTGCAATGGAACTCAGAATAAACAAACACTAGATTCAGCAGAGAGTGTTGAAAACATCGGCTGTACCGACTTCAGCTTCAAGCGGAAGGTTATGATGCTCAACAACCTGAAGGACAAATTGTATAGCGCGCTGGAACAGTGCGGCTGCCATAAAACTTCTGAAAATGCCGCTGAGCTGCAGGCGGAGAAAGAAAACCTTCTTGCCGGGCCCTAATTTTGCAACCCCGTTGCAATGTCAGTATATGCCAAAATATTAATTCTGAAAATGAACTCAAAGTTTTCCCACAGTTGTCCACACAGAAATGGTCAAAACAAGACGTGTATTAAACGCTCGCATGGTAGTGGCACCGACCTCCTGTAAATAGCCCAGCTAAAGAAAACAAAAGGAGATGACAGTGGCACAAGCGTCAAAATGTAAAAAGTGAACTCTTCAGATCGGATTTGGTGGCGTGTGGACACGTGTGCTTGTTCTGTTTTGCTACTCAGATAAATCAGCTCAAATGTGGTACATGCATGGATGATGGAAGCATGTTTATTTTGAGGATAACTTAAGTGGGTCAAGCAGAGGTATTATCCGCGGGTGGCAGTAATGCACACCACGAGTTGTTTGCGAGCTGCCAGAAGGACAATCGAAGAAGCTCTATTGAGACTTGTGGTTGTCTCGGCAACCGGTATACAACAGGGGAAGCCAGGCCTGGCTTCACCTCCTGGCACTTTGCTTTGTAGTTGGATCAAAAGTTGACCCTTTTGAAGATGCCGACCAATAATGCTGCAGCACCTGGGAAAAAGGTAAAAATGATCAACGGAGTTGACATGGAATTAAGTGCATGAGAAATAGGGAAACAGATCAACATGGGGCGGTGGCTCGCTGAAAAAAAAGCATACGATAGGTAATATTGAAATCTTAGCTGAGCATGTGTCATCCTATCGTTGTTGGGTTTTGATTTGTTTTGTAATACTTAACTTTTAAGAAGGTGCCTGCTGCAAAGTCACAAAAAGCAAGCAACAAGAAAAAGGTAAGTCACATTCAAAAACACACCCACACACACAATTTAAGTTTCTTATATTAATTCTTTGCTAAAAACAAATGATGGAGGAGGAGAAAAAAAACATAGCAACTGCATGCCCCATTACAGGATGAGGAAGATGACTTTGGTGATTATGGCTGGGAAGAAAGGACTCATGGCAAACTTACGAAACCTGCTGATCAACTGGATCTCACTGAAGCTGTAAGAGAGAGCTCACACAAAACGACAAAACGAATCATCATGTTGACATTATGAGTTACCCTGAATAATGACTCAGGGTTATACTATGTTCTCTGCTTGTTTCTATATTAATCCAACTAAGGAGCTGAAGGAGGAAGTCACAAGGATTCTGACAGCCGAAAATCCACACGCGCCGCAAAATATCGTCCGATACAGCTTCAAGGTAAGAATATTACAGCAGACTGAGTGCGCTTGTAAATAGAGGAATCACAGCTGTAGTTGCAGCAAATTATTCGTTTTAGTCAGTGCTAAAATTAATGCCATGATATAGACAAAAGTGAAATGTCCAAAAGCAAAACTTTGCATCTTCATGACAAAATTTTAAAGTGATTTTTGACCACTGTAACATTTCATCTATGGCATCCAATTATTTTGCCCAAATTTTTTTTTGCTACAAACATTCAATCTATTTGAATACATCTTTTTCAAAACAATAAATTGACCTTTGAGCAACATCAGAATGAGAATGCCTCCATTGTCATTTTATTTTAGCAAAACCAAACTGAGAATTAAGTAATATATAAGCATTGCCAGTTCCTGTAATGCCATTTGTCTGATTTTTTGGGGGCATATTTGCACCGTATCTGCCTGCTATGATGGGCTATCAATCACAGGTCATCATTTGATAAACCAGAGGTTCGTCGTTGCATATCATAACAATCAGATCAATCACCACAAGCCCATAAGGACACTGAACCGGAATTGATATTTTTGATACCGTTACTCTTTTGTCTTTTCCAGGAAGGTGCTTTCAAGCTGACCAGTGTTGTTGATCAGCTGGCTGTCCACTTTGTCCTGGATGGTTGTCTCATTCATCAGGACTCTGATGAGGCTCGCAGGCTGGCAGCCAGTGGAGACCTTCCTGAAGGTGTTCTCGGTGTTCGCTAACACCTGCAACATTTTCTATTTCAAGAAAAAAAAAATTGGGGGTCAATACAGGCCTTTTGTGTGTTATTACAACTGCAGGCAGCGTTCTTTCTGTTCGCGTAGACCACTTCGGCTGACTGAATTCTAGTGCAGTTCATAATTTCAGCCACCAGATGTCACTATTTACATGTTTTGAAATTAAAAAAACAAACAAACTTGCATTTCAGGTATGATTTGGCTCTGAACCACCAGATGTCACTATTAACATGTTTTGAAATTAAAAAACAAACAAACTTGCATTTCAGGTATGATTTGGTTCTTGATTGTGTACAGAGACAACAACGGTTGATACTGGAGCCGAGCCTGATGAGGGAAAAACAGAAATACTGGTAAAGTGGGTTTTTATTCATTTTAATAAAAGCCTTTTTGGGGGAATGTGAAAAACAACCATTCAGTTCTGGTAATTGTAGGATCCTTAAGTCATCGTTTAGTGTGATTTTAGCGACAGCTTCTTTGTGGGTTTCCTTGCAGGATGCGTCTGGAGATGGAGGTGAGGATGAGGATGCTGGGGAAGATGACAGGCCAGATAGCGTTGCCTCCAAAACAAATGAGCAGGAGCCAAAATGTACAAACCAGTTCAATTTCATTGAAAGAGCTTCGCAAACACTCAATAATGCACTGCGGGTAGGAATGAAAAAAACCCTGTCTCATTTCTATCCTCCCTTTCTCTTTGAGTTTAAAAAAATAAAAAATAAAAAAGTGTAGACAGCAATTCGTCAAGACTTCAAGTTCTGTTTCCATGCAGGATAGAAGCTGCCAGACGGTACCGCCTCCACGCTGCAACTATTCGGCCACCGCTACTCAGGTGGCCGAATATTCTCTGACTTCAAATTCCGCTTAGAGCAGCTGAGAATGCTTATAAATGCTCAACAGCACTTTTGGTCTTTTCAGTGGGAGATATATGACGCGTACACGGAGGAGCTGCAGAAACAAGAAATGAAAAAAGACAAGCAGAGAGCCTTCCAAATAAAGAAAGATGGCGACCAGAACAAAAAGAAGATATTGAATGAAACGCCGGTAGCTCAACTTACTTGCCGTGTTTTTTCTTGCTCATTGTGCAACAAGAAACAATATTTTTCTGTATCGGCCTGACAAATTGTTTATTTTTTTTAATCTCTGCAGAATGATGACATCACACCAATGGCCATGCCAGTCACACTGTTGGAACGAATGGTCAATCAGAATACATGCAATGACATAGCACAAGGTGGGTTTATTATTTGTCCAACGCTGTGTTAATCGTTGTGAGATTCTCGATTCAAAGGACCGACTATATTGCAGTCTGTCACACCGCTACAGTACTATATTTTCCATTTTCCATGTGCGTCCTTTCAGATTTCAAATACTTTGAGGATGCGGCGGATGAATATAGGGAGCAAGAGGGCACTCTTCTTCCCTTGTGGAAGTTCCAATATGACAAAGCCAAATGGATGTGTGTCACGGCACTCTGCTGGTAGGCTTGCTCACCAACACGCCACGCGCTAGCTTAAACGCCAATGCAGCGCAAGACGAGTAATGTATGCGCCTTATTCCACAGGAATGAGAAATATCCCGATCTTTTTGGCGTGGCCTTGGGATCTTGTAAGTCATCGACACGAACCAATGAATCATTTGTCTTTCCGAGAAGCGTATGTGGTTCTTAGCATGACCGAAGAAACATTTCATCTATCCTAAGATGACTTCAGCAAACAGGGCCGCGGGATGCTCCTCTTCTACACCTTGAAGAACTCCACCTTCCCCGAGTACATCTTCCCAACGGGTTCTGGCGCCCTGAGCCTCGACATTCATAAGCGAAATTCCTATCTGGTGGCCGCCGGTTTCTATGATGGCTGCGTTTGTGTGTACAACTTGAAGAAGAAGGGACCGGAACCTGAATACAAGAGCAATGCGAAAACTGGCAAGCACACTGACCCTGTCTGGCAGGTGAGGGATTATATTACGGTACGTACAATATAATTAGCTCACCTGCGACCCTACTGAGGTCAAGCGGTAAAGAAAATGGATTGATATATTTATCAGTCATGTTCTGTAATGTAAAGAATTGGTTTGTTGTAATTGATGATGGCTTTCCAATCAGGTGCGATGGCAGAATGACGACATGGACAACAAGCATAATTTCTATTCTGTGTCCTCTGATGGCCGTGTTGTGTCTTGGACACTCATTAAGGTTGGTTTCATGACCGTTACTTATATATTATGTTTAGATGGTACAATCCAAGGTTACTTGTCAACACACAATAGGTTTTGTAGTTTGAACAAAATCGGACACTAAATGTCTGTCCTGTGTTATAGCAGCTACATTTTTTAACTATCCGGTACCTTCCCCCCCAGATATTTGTTTTTATTGAGCTTCCTTCTGCAGCATAGCTGCTGAATGCCGTACGAAGTAATTAAAATTCCCACGTGCAACCCAGTGCTAACAATTTTATCAAACCGCCAACGCTGGCATTCAATTTGAAATCTCTCCTTCCGTTTCAAAATGGCAAAAATGTTGACTGCTCATTGAAATCGAATGAGTTGACATGAGAGTAGCTCATTGCACTGTCGGGTCTCTGTTCTTTTTTTGTGATCTAATAAATGTGTTTCGCACAGTGTGGTTCAGTGTATCGCAATGTTATTTGCATGTCTGCAGAATGAGCTGGTCTTCTCAGACACTATCAGGCTCACGGTGGCTGATCCTGATGGTATTCAGGAGCGCAGCACTGGTGAGATTTCACTTCCTTGTGGTAGTATCGTAAACTGTACCAGAAATTGTAGATATTATTTTTCTTACGGAATTCTTTATTTATGTACATTAGTCGGGCCACTGTCTTTCATTGTGGACTGCACTTTTAAGTGCCTCCATCCATCATTCTTGTCTCCAGTTGGCGGTACATGCTTTGACTTCCACAAACAGACCGACTCTCTTTTTGTCGTTGGCACTGAGGAGGGTAAAATACATAAGGTATGTTGAAATTCATTCCGCCGCCCAAGATTTGGCTGTCAATGAACTGTCAGAGGCTTGAAATACAGCAGCTGTGCCTACAAGCCATAAAGCTGATTTAGTCTGAGAGTGCGCACTTTATTTGTCACCGCACTCAGACCTGCAATCCAAACTGTGAAGTTCTTAAAATTAGACTTTTCAAAACTTCCACCACACAAGATTTAATTCTTCTTTCAAATGAAAAACAACATTTTGCAAATTCTATTGTATTCTAATGACCACTTTAGGTGTTTGACAATTTCAAAAGTGTATATTTGAACTATTGAGAGAAAAGTTTATCAATCACTTTTGCTTGACAGTAAAATGTTGTTGCAATTCCCTAGTGCTCCAAGAATTACTCCAGCCAGTTCCTAGAGACTTACGCTGCCCACAACATGGCAGTGGATGCCGTGAAGTGGAATCCTTACCACCCAAAGGTTTTCATCTCTTGCAGCTCAGACTGGACCATCAAGATCTGGGACCATACTGTCAAGTAAGACCAATGCTGGATGAAAGATTCAAAAATCAGCAAGAAACATCTTATTTTGAATACAATGAGCGTATATAGGTGTGTTTATACATACCGGTATATCTTTTTACTGCGCATGACCTTATATTCTCTACGTATCATTTTATAACACTTTTGTCAGACGTGTTAGCTTGACCGCTACATGACGGTAAACCGTTCGTATCGAGAAAAAAAAAACAATCATCCCTAACATTATTTATCGTACATTGTAGCCCTAAACATCCCTTTTATCCTTTCTCCATCCCTCATTTTACCTTTCTGCAGACTGTACTTTTTTTATTTACCCGTCCTTCGCACCATGAAAATTGTCCAACTCAAGTGAAAACTAAGTCAGCCATGTTTGAAACGTTTCAAAATTGCCTTAACAAAACCCCACTAGGGCTTGCTGAAGTATCCTTCAATATATTACGAATGAAGAACGATTATGCTCACAGCGCTTGTCTGAAATGTTTTTTTGTTTTTTTTCCAGCACTCCCATGTTCACATTTGAGCTCAACGCTCCAGTTGCTGATGTGGCCTGGGCACCACACTCCTCCACTAGCTTTGCTGCTGTCACCACAGAAGGATTGGTAAGAATCATTTGAAAGTAACAAATCAAGCAGGTAAAAAAAAAAAACTAACAAACAAACAAGCCGATAATCAAACAATAATCTGACAAGATTTGCTGGTTTGAAATGATCAAGATTAAGCCACTGCGGCTAAACTGCACATAAACAAGAGCTTAGTTGACACATCCACAATTGTGGAGACACACGACACAATGAAGTCTGTCCAAACCTTTTCGATTGTATCCTGTTTTTAAAATCTTCTTATCAAGGTGACAGCCGACTCAAAAAAAAAAAAAAAAGAAGAAGCACATTTTCAGCAGACACAACAGCGCACCGCTGCCAAGGTTTAGCAATCTTAATATGGAGCAGCACCAAAGTGTAACCTTTCAAACATACACACTTTCTGCATGTGCCAAAATTCTGTCATCACGATGCATTTTTCACTGACATTTTCAAAATGACCTGCAGTGTTAATGAGAATGGAAACTACTCCCTCCCCCCCGCCCCCCTCCGGGTTTCACATCAAATTTGAATAGCCTTGCAAATGCCACATTGTTTACATGTAATCTCGCTCATGAGCAAAACAGGAGTGCCCGCATAATTTAAAAACTTTTTTTTTTACACATTGGGACATTGTCCATGCCACTGGGCAAGTATTAATTAGTCCTCCCACACACCTCAGACTGCTTCTGTTTTGTCACAAAAAAAAAAATCTCTCCACCGTTTAAGAAAGCAGTAAAAAAAAAAAAAAAAAAAGTCAATCAAGTCTCAGCTGCAATACAAAATGTAAAACGAGAGTAACGTGTATCATCAGTTCTTCAGAAGTCATTTAAAGTTTGGTGAATTCCTTGGCCAGCATTTTCCAAAGTGAATACTCTTCACAGTTAAAGCAGTGCAAAAGATGAGAATATTAAACCGTAATGGCTCATGGTCATTATCACCGGTCGACTTTTTTTTTCTTAATCTTTGGGCTGTACCCAAATTTCAACTGTTCTGCCAAGCTAATACTGAGAAAGTGAACAGCTCACACTGTGTTTTCCGAGTGTAAGCCAGTCATTAGATTTGTAAATGTCACTTTTGGGTATGTTACCTGTCAATCCAAGCTGCATGGAATTAACCAGACGCGCAATAATCCCCTTGGAAGTCAATTTTAAGAAGATTTTGAGAAAACAGTTCCAGGACATAATATAACCATATTCATACTTGACATTTGTCATTTACTGTGACATCAGTTTGACTCATTTCGACTGATACTGTCTGTGATCATGTGTTTGTGAGGATGACAACATGCCTGGTGGCCCGAGGTGCGAAAAAGAATGTGCTCTGCCAAAACATAACTCTGTTCCCATTTTGGGAGACTTGAAATCAGAGCTGACAGATGTGGAATTGTCATGTCAAGATGAAATAACGGTGGGCCCTAGTGAGATTATTGTGAAAATCCATATTTGCGCTGTCATCTTTGCTTTCTAAAGTCACTCATTTGCCCAAAGTGAAAATATTATTTCACGTCATGGGGGGGGGGCTATTAAAAGCACCTTTCAGTATGATGCCCTGTCAATTCTACAATAAAATAGCTGTACCGTATTTTCCACACGAAAAGGCGCACTGGATTATGAGATGCACCTTCAATGAATGGCCTATTTTGTAATTTTTTTCATAGATTGGACGCACCAGTATCCATTGTTTGCACAGCTCATGAAGTGTACTGATCATATTTTCCAGGTCCACGTTTTTGACCTGAGCATCAACAAGTATCAGGCTATCTGCCAGCAGCCGGTGGTGGCAAAAAATAAGACCAAACTGACTCACATTGAATTTAATCCTGTCCATCCCATCATCATCGTGGGAGACGACAGAGGCTCTGTCATCAGCCTGAAACTGTCCCCGAACCTCCGCAAGAAACCAAAGGTAAGAGTGCTGATCAAGAAGACCCCCGGGAAGTAGCACCCATTTGTTTGTACCCTTGCCCCATGTCCCTGACACATTACATTGCTCCCTTGTTCTGTATTTATCACCTACGGCTCATTTTACTGAAGAGCAGCTGCTCCTCTAACTCGCTATCAGCGCCAACAATCGATCGTGTCCCTCCTGCTTTTTTTATTTCTTATTCGGGCCAGTCAACAATTAGCAATGGGTACCCTGAGCCGCTTGTCATTCGATATCACCGCAGAGGCAAAAGAGAGATGATCTAACGTGTCTTCTTTAAAAGATTAGAACTGTTTTCCTGCAACTTATCCGTTTTACTATGCCTACGGGGCTTACCGGCAGTTGTGACCTTAACTGTATTGAATTTAATCAACCAAAGACTTTCAACGCATTAAATATTCACCATTTGCTTACAGCACGTTTTATATACGCATCGGAATACAGTTTACACTGATATTATTGTTTTGGGGTTTTTTTTTACGCAAATGTTCTCCTTACCATCATAAGTGCAGATCCCAGATTGATTCAGGCTCAGAATTTGGACACAATTTAAACCCATCGGAATCTAAAGTAGATGTGGACAGACATATACACACTTATAATTGAAATCTGGAACCAGTTCAATGTGATTTGTTGTCGTTATTCCTTTTTAATTGCGTAATGAAAATCAGTTAAATGCTCATGATCGAAATGTGTGATACATTTTACAAAGCATTGTGGGCCATACTCATAAACGGATCTCTTCAGCATTGAAAACACCACACACACACACACACACACACACACACACGCACGCACGCACGCACGCACACACACACACACACATAGGCCGGGCGAGTTATTATTATCAACCTTCGACTTCAGCCCTTGAGAGTGCATATGGGACATCATTATAAAGTTCAGCACTGCTGACGGTGCTCTTAGACCCCAGGGTGGCAAATATCTACAACACACAAACACCCACTGCAAATATGATCAACAATATGCAAATAATGTTGACAGAGAGTGCCCCAAAAATTGCACAAACTGAAAATGGCAAATCAACACCTGTACGTGCAGCACGGAAACAAATTTCAGGATGTCGTGGAAAAAAATGTCCCAATGCAGAGAGTGTGCAAATCAGACATGATACAATTGGCAGTTTTACAAGGAGAGGCAGTAAATGAAAATGGGAATTTAATGAAGTTTGCAAAATGTCCTTTATAATCGAATTGTCTGTTCTATTGTTCTGAGCTGGAGGGCTGTTAAGTGAACGCAACTGATGTACACGACGTAGAAATGCTGTTCGCATTGACGAGCGCAGGCTGTCATGCTGTGAATGGGGTTTTGTTGGGAATAATGAGAATTATAATGAAGCAAAAAAAATATTGGTAGAATATTGATGTCATTAAACAGTTTGTGTGTGTGTGTGTGTGTGTGTGTTGATGAATCCAAACAAGACAAATCAATAATCATATTTTACGAAGCCATTTTTGTTTTTGAGCTGTCTCAGTCTACTCTTTTTTATTATTGTTTTCAATACACTGACTGCAGACAGCTGCACCGTGTATGTAATCTCCTTGTGTTTACTCAGCAAAGGTCAAGGAAATCCTGTGTGCCTGCATGCGTGTGTTTGCAGGGCAAGAAAGGTCAAGAGCTGCCCGAAGGTCCCGAAGTGGAAACGGCCAAGATGGAGAAGCTTCTCAACTTACTGAGGGACTCGGAGCAAAGCAGTGTCAAGTGACCCCTCACCGTTTCCTTGTCGCCACGTGTCCAAGAAGTCAGTGCAAAAAAAAAAAAAAAAAAAAAGACATCACTTCTGCCTTGCATGTCAATTTATTGTCTTTTGTAACTTCCAGCATGAACGTAAGAGGTGTTTTTTTTTAATTACATTTTATTGGTTTGTTTGTAATTATGATGCTAGTTTTCTAGTAGTTGATCAAATTGCCATTAAAATGCATAGAGGGGTCAACACCTGATGTATTTTGGAAAAATTACCCTTTGTCACAATGCGGTCTTATTGTCATCATCCTTCATGAAGGCTGGTGCCTCACACACAAATCACTCACATTCAATGATAAAATGCATTTATTGATACCCGGTAGCACTTGTTACATTAAACGGGCAGTATTAGCACTGCAGTGCACTTCAGCAGTAATTCACAACAGCAATTCCATATGTACCAAACAAGTTGAGTGCGCGAGAGTGACCGGCAAAACAAATTAGCCTGACAGATGTAACGTCTTCAGACCGCAACCAGACAAAATGATGTTAATTGACTTGCACGTGCAGTCCCGGGCAGCATTCCAGGGATGAACCAAGAGTCTTTTGACTTCATTCTACAGTAGAGGGAGAGCTTTGCTTTGAGCCGCGATGCTGCCGGTTGGCTGTGACGCTCTTGTTCAGTGAAGTACCACTCAATGCCCCACCCTTGACATCTTGTTGCGGACACATGCGGCACTCTGTCCATTAACTGTGATTTGTTAGTTCAGCTCCTCGGGTTTTAGTTGGGAGAGGGCTGCTCGTCGATGTTGCTTTGACACAGTGAAACCTGCTTTCTCGCGATGTTTTGTTTAACCGTAGCGTCGTCGTGCACGATAAGTGCAAATGTATTGGGACATTCGGCCATTACACCAAAAGCGAGTAAAAGGAAGCAAGCAAGGCTATGAAAATCCACTCGACACGTCTTGTCATTTAGGTCAGAGTCAGCGAGGTATTGTGTAAAATGGAACCAGATGTCAGAGACGACAAAGTGCTCGGCCTAAAGAGTACACCCAAACGGATATCTAAAGTGCCCTTGCGAATGCAAAAGTTTTCTATGGTAGGTATATATAAATGTGTCCAAAAATATTCCGAAAAATGTATTTCATGTTGGAAAAAAAAAAAAAAAACCTAGCAATTAAATTATCCATCCATTTTCGGAACCGCTTTATCCTCACAAGGGTGG